GAGGAACAGTATTAAGAACCGCTGCTTTAGAACATTGATTTTGAAACTTGTGAATCCATTAGAATTGTTAGAAGACAGAATCGCGATTCATATATGAATAGATTTTTACGTGCACCTCTAGTTTTCTCTTCCTCTTCTCTAAAGCAGCGCGTTTTCTCTTCCTCTTCTTTGCTGCCTTTTCCCGAGGGCGGGGTTTATCTGGGTTTGTGATGTCACGAACCCAGGAAGTAACTTGTTGTAGTCCCTACCAGCCGTTTTTGTAGTCATTACACTACCAGAATTTTAAAAGACGATATCTCTGTTTGCATTGAACTTTCAGCTTCGTAACTTTGCAGATATTGTTTATGCTCAAACAGCAACATTACACACTAACTAACGTTAAAAAGGTGAAATCGCAATCAACCATCCCTTTAAGAAAAATCATTAAATTTCGGGCACAATATATTAAATACAGTTGGTTGTAGCCTGTATTTTTATTTATTTCAGTTGTGTTTTCTGTGTACTTTTATTTTTGGACTGATAATAAAGTCAACTAATTGTATGCACGAGAGTTAGCGGTAATATCAATGCGTTCCTATTGGTCAGCGTTACCTGACAGTTAGCCTGCCCCGTACCAGGGGGCTGTTTCATAAAACAAGTTTACCTAACAAGCCAGGCTTATTGACAATATTGTGACAATAAGCCAGACTAACTGAAATAAGCCTGGCTTGTTAGGTAAACTTGTTTTATGAAACAGGCCCCAGGTTAGTTTCTCAGCGTAAGTTGCCACAGTGACTGAGCTTGAGCTGTTTCATAAAACAAGTTTACCAAATAAGACAGGCTTATTTCAGTTAGTCTGACTTATTGTCACATGATTTGGTTTCAGAAAGCAAATTTAACATAGCTCAAGCTCAGTCACTGTGGCAACTTATGCTGAGAAACTAACCTGGGGCCTGTGGTAAATTTGCTTTCTGAAACCAAATCATGTGACAATAAGTCAGACTAACTGAAATAAGCCTGTCTTATTTGGTAAACTTGTTTTATGAAACAGGCCCCTGTATTGCAAACTGTATTGCTGCATAGGCATAACAACGCAACGGCATTGCCATAGAAACCAATGCA